TTACATCAATGATGATGCATAATTCTTCCCTTTTGACTGGTTTTGTGGTCCAGGGTCACATATTTGCACAGCTGGTTTTCTGTTCTCAGTAAGGTTTCTGCAGGCCTTAAAAAGTCCTAATTTGCTCTTCCACTAATTGAAACCTCAAAAAGGTCTTAATTCAGAACAGGAAGTCTTAAATTGATAAAGTCGAGGCATTAAATGTTGCATGCGCTGCAAAAAATTAACATCTTTCTCTGTAGTTTTGTGTTGTTTTCCAGTATATCTAAACATGCTTAAATCAATATACATTTACTTGAGATGCAAAATGACGATAAATATGAAGTCTTGTTTTCTGCAAAATTTTGCAAAATTAAATATGCTTATGCTGAAATAGAAACAAACGTGATAATGGGGTCAGAAAAATCTACTTGTTTTCCCTTTTAATTAAGCTCTTTTCTAACCCTTTTGGAAGACATTTGTTCTTGTTTTAATTGTAAACTCACTTATTTTTTATTTGTTAATTTCTTTGTCCCCTTACATTTTTGATTTCTTAAATTTTCTTTACTTGGTCTTAAAAAAAAGTCTTAAGTTTACCTTCATAAAACCTGAAGAAACACACAGTAATGCAACCCTTATGGGAGGGGTTTATTTTGTGATTGACCAATCAGAATGAAGTATTCCAGAGGGGTGTGTAACAAAGGATTTAAGCACCGCCCACGCCTAGAGTGTGTTTCCAGTGTCAGTGGTGTCATCATACTTTTGAGGCTGATCTTTCTTGCATTTTTACTGTTCATAATCTGAGATTAGTTCGTATTAATTGCTGTTGTGTGTCTTTATCAGTGCTGACGAACAGAGTTTAACCTGGCCGAGATTACGGAGGGAAACTTTACATCGGTACATTACATGTACATCACTCAGATTAAAATGACAAGATATTTTACGTTTATATTTATATACACTACCATTCAAAGGTTTGGGTCATTTTGAAAGAAATGAATACTTTTATTCATCAAGGATGCATTAAATTGATCAGAAGTGACAGTTAAGACGTTTATAATGTTGCTAAAGATTTCGATTTCAAATAAATGCTGCTCTTTTGAACGTTCTGTTCATCAAAGAATCCTGAAAAAAGGTTTCCAGAAAAATATTAAGCAGCACAACTGTTTTCAACATTGATAATAATCAGAAATGTTGCAAATCAGCATATCAGAATGATTTCTGAAGATCATGTGACACTGAAGACTGGAGTAATGATGCTGAAAATACAGCTTTGATCACAGAAATAAATTTCAGTTTAAAATGTATTCACACAGAAAACACTTAATTTAATTTATAATAATATTTCACTATTTTTACAGTATTTTTAATCAAATAAATGCAGCCCTGGTGAGCAGAAGAGACTTTTTTCAAAAACATAAAATCCTAACTTTTGTGTAATAGTGTAATATATACATTAAATATATGCATTTAAATAATTTTTATATTTATTTGTTTTTTTTTTATTAATGCTTTTCCTTAAAATTCATAAAACATTTCAGTCTTAAAGTCAATGTAAAATACCTTCCACAATCCATTTTGTACGTAACACGACGTATTTCAGAGTGAAAAGGGTATTAAATAGGAAAAAAAAAAAAGTAGGACAGAGCTTGCGTCAGCAGAAAAAGTTCTTTCAGAGTACAATAAGTCCAGGAACATGTATTCACTCTGACTTCAGTAGCGTGTGAAGTATCGCACTTTAACAGACGCTCTCCCTTTCAGGTTGGCAGCGTCAATCCAGTCAGAGATTTCTGCAGACAGACCGTTTCTTTCGATCAGGGTGAGATTTGATTGTTCGGTTTCATCTTCTTTTCTACTCTCACTCCTCAACCTTCACAAGCGTGTCTACTATTAAACATGCTGTAATGTAAATGCACTATTACTGCTCCTGGCATGTCTGCAAGGCCTCGCTAAAGACTGAAAGATACTCTGAGACACTGAATAGTCGCTCGGCGTTAAATGATTTGTGTTGTTTCTGAATGTTAGCTGCAGGTTTTGTTGTTAGCGCGGTGGCTTTGATAATCATTGTTTTGTAACCTTGACAGTATGCCAGCAGCTGACCTACAGGATTGAGCAGTTGCTCGGCAACAGGAGCCCCGAGTACTACATGAAGAGCATCGCCTGTATCCAGGCCTTCAGGGATCAGTCCGTATCGGTGAGCTCTCAATTAAACCTCCGGATCCAATCAGGGATCGCTTAAGGATCAGTCGTTTTTGCGGGTCGGTAGGAAAAACAAGCTGCCGGAGGATGTTGGGATTCATTTCAGACAGACTGAGCTCAGCTGGAGTCTGAGGCTCCGGTCCAAAACCTTACCTAGACAGGATTTCAGTGCACTTCTGATTTCAGACAAATTCTGAGGATCAAATCACATCCGCAAAGAAGGCAAACACATAATCATTTAAAAATAATAGAAGTTAAGTTTGTGAACGAATTAGTGTTGAAAAATATAATTAAAATGGCTTTGGTTTAATTTAAAGTAGACCATTTTACCCAATCTTTGTGTGTGTGATGTATTCTTTAATGCTTATGAATGTTGTGTTATGTTGTGTCATTAGCATAGCGGCATGTCAGCATCAGCCTCTTTAGAAATCAATCATGTGTGGTTTTCTGTGCACTTTGTGTAAACTATATATAGAGCATCCAGATTACTGACATATGAGGTTCTGTGATGATGCTCCCTCAGAAGGTAGCTGCCTATGTAGGCAACTCACTAGGTTTTGGACCGAGTCCACTATGAATCAAAAGACTGGACTTGATGGAACATATTTCTGACAGTGTTATTTTAGTATTTTGAATTAGCTTTTTTTTTTTTATGTTTTCAGTTTTAGTAATTTTGGTATAATTTTTTTTATATTTTGTCTTTTTTATGATTATTTCTATTTAGTTTTAATTTATTTAAATGTATTTTTTTTATTTTTTTTTATTTATGTATTAATTTTAATACTTCAGCTTATTTTATTTCAACATTTCTAATTTCATTTAATTTTTAAATTATATATAAATTATGGAAATGTGTTAATTATATATATATAACAACACTGGCTACTAAATATGAAAACCTTTTACTATTCTGTTTTTGCTTAAATGCTTGAAATTTGTTTTATAGTCCAATAGAGATTGATATAAATTCTTTTTTCATTAATAATTTTGGACTCCATTTACATGTGACTACTTGTAATCAGATTACCTGAGACAGGTGTAAATGGGGCCTGCGTTTGGCACCGTTTTTGCAACAGATGTTGCATGTACACTGCATGATATCATTTTTTTAGTGTTGGATTTTAATGACTACGAGTACATGAGCTCAGACACACCTCCTACTGCACCTGATCGCAATGTACTCCATCAGAGCGTAAACGCAGAGCTGTTCAACAGCTACATGCAGTCCCTGAAGAGGAGCGTTGCTGACAGGAATCTTCAGGAGTTCTGGGATCTGCTCGTCAAGGTAAAGAACAGGCCTTCTGCTCATGTTAGGCTGAAGACTTCATGCCTTCAGCATGTGCTTTTGTTTTCAGATGCTCTGACGCTGATAAGCAAGGATGAAGTGGACGGAAGCACCATTTCTAAACAAGATGCAAACCAGGTACTTACAGCCTTCTGCTGCCATGGAAACAATCCACAACCTTATTAG